ATGCTGTGTACTTGAACCAAAGAACATGTGCATGTAGAGGATGGCAACTAAGCGGTATACCATGTATACATGCCATGGCTGCTATTAGTTATCTAAATGAGAATGTGGAAGACTATGTGGCAACTTGGTTCACAACAGAAATGTTTGGAAATTGCTATAAGTATACAATTAATCCTTTAAATGGAAGTGAAATGTGGCCATCTTGGGAAGGTCAACCTATGTTGCCCCCGAAACGTAAAAGATTACCTGGCAGACCTAAAGTCAACAGGAAGAAGGCTGCTTCAGAAAAAGAAGGTCGTCATACTATTAGCAAGAAAGGGGCTATTACAAAATGCAGCATCTGTAGAGAACCAGGACACAACAAAATAACATGTCCATTGTCCAAAGAAGGTTTTTTTCATATCAAGTATCATTCATTTACCAAAAAAAATATAAGTATTATCTATTAATGCATTATAAATTTTAATGTAGGACCAAGTACTAAAGCCAAAAAGAAGAAGGGTAAACATGTTCCTGATGTTGAGGATGAGTCTGAATTTGAGATTGAAGAGATGGATGAAGTTGAAAATGAGTATGAATCTGAGATTGAAGAGCTGGCTGAAGATGGTGATGAACCTGATCAGGGACAAGTTGATGAACAAGTTGAACCTGCTGTTGAACCTGCTGTTGAAGCTGTTGAAGCTGTTGTTGAACCTGATGAACAAGTTGAAGCTGTTGTTGAACCTGATCAGGAACAAGTTCATGAACCTGATCAGGACCAAGTTCATGGACCTGTTGTTGAGGAACCTGCTGCACAACCCGTTGTTGAAGTTGAACAAAGAGCACAACCATTGAAGAGGAAAAGGAAATACTCAGAGAGGATCACTAAAGTGGCATTAAGTAGGGTGGTCAACACCAAGGATGGATGTGGTTTAAGTGTGAATAAACCTGTTACACTGGAATGATTCCCTTTGATGTAAATCTGCACATTAAAAACAGTGCTTTTGTTTGTTATTACCCTTTAAATATAATCTACATCGTTCAATGTTGCTTTTACATATGATTCCTTGTTTTTGACCATTATGCCCTTCATATTATTTTTTACCATTATTCACATTAGATCATATTCAAACACAAGATTCTGCACATTATGCCCTTCATTTTGACCATTATGCCCTTCATTTTGACCATTATGCCCTTCTGCACATTAAGAGGTAAAATTCTGCAAGATTCTGCATTTTGACCATTATTCAAACACAAGATTCTGCATAGTTGTTTGTACAAGAGTTGTTTGTACAAGGGTAACATTCTGCACATTATTTTTACCATTACTCACATTAAATCATATTCAAACAAAAGATGCTGCAAAGTTGTTTGCAAAGTTATTTTTACCATTACTCACATTAAATCATATTTTTACCATTATGCCCTTCATTTTGACCATTATGCCCTTCTGCACATTAAGAGGTAAAATTCTGCAAAGTTGTTTGTACAGGGGTAACATTTTGCACATTATTACCCTAATAAGACAATGCATGAATGCTCATTCAATGTTGTTTGTACTTAAGATTAAATCATATTCAAACTTAAGCTAAACATGTCCATTCAATCGTATTCAGCAAAACATGTTCATTCAATCATATTCAGCAAAACAACCATAATATCCGATTACAATTTGACATTTATGCCCTTAAAAGTGATACTACAAACAACATAAACAACACAATTACATATGTTTTGAGACTGCTAATTTTTCTAATTATCTTATCAAATTCTTCATCTGTCTTCTTTTTGTAAATATTGAAATCATGGTCCATAATTGCAATCCTCACTTCACAAGATTGTGCCCTTACTTCACAGGATTGTGCTCTCACTTCATCTCTTTTCTTCTTGTTGACTGTATCTTCTTCATTAACCCATTCCTAGAATTTGCATTTAATTTCTGGGTTATCCTAAAACAAATATACGAAAATTATTGAAAGACCTTACTACATATAGAATAAACCCGACATACCGTTGAATTAGGGCAAACCCTAAACTCTTTTCCAGGATTATCTTTGGTCGTTGAAGTCCAGATACGAGAAGGGTAGCCACAATCACAGGGATTTGCAAAATCAAGTTTCGATTTTGACTTGATTTTCTTCGATCTGGTGTTGGAGGTGTACGTAGAGGAGGAGGAAGCATTAGATGGACCAGCCATGATCGATCTCAACTTCGACTGAGAAAATTACACAACGGGGTGTTGAGGGTGAGGGTGAGGGTGTTTAATGGAGAGGGGTGAGCCACGTATTTTCCACATAATTTGTTTTTTTTTTTTTTTAATAAATAAATTACCGGGATACCTATTGTATCCGGTTAACAATGGTAAAGTATGTACAGAAAAAACATTTTAATGGTATTTTGTGTTAAAAAAAAACGTTAATGGTATAATGTGAACACGGGTAAAACATCATTACCCTTACAAGTCATTTTCCCAAAAGTAAATGACAATCAAAGGAAATTTAGTAGTACATAAACAATTACCCTGGACATAACATTAAATTTTCTTTTATCTAAAATTAATTTTCAATGTTAAGGTCTTTTGAATCTATATCGTGTTTGTATTTTTAAAAAAATACAACATGAAATATTGATTCCTAAAACTAAAGAATGACAAAACATTAATTTGTTGCATATTTTCTTTTATTCGTTGGTATACTAAAGTTTTAATTACATAATTGATAATTCAGATACTTTTACCAAATTTGGCAATTCATTTTAGGAAAGTTCATTCTTTGTTATACACACAAATGGCATGGAAAGGAGTGTTACCTTGGTTGTTCTTTTGAAGAGGGTAAAGAATGGATAACATTATAATTATTTATATTATTGTTCATATATAACTAAATAACTATATTACAACATCTGTAATTTTGTTAGAAATAAGAGAGAGTGATTTAGGACAACATGAAGAGAATTTAAAAGAAAAAAAAATGAATTCTCCATTTTTTTAAGAAAAGTTAAAGACTTGCAGTTGAAGAGAAAAGATATGCAAGATCGTATTGTATGATTTTGTTAATGAAAAAACTACCCCTAACTTTTTTTATATGTTAAGGGTATCATTGTAAAATTGAAAACTTCCAATTCAAGGCACCCACAAATGAATAAAGATAGATCAAATAGTCCAACATGATCGATGATAAAGAAGACACCAGATGTGACTACATTTACAGCCTGCTTAGGACCCCCAATATATGCCACTAACTAAAGATTACAGGACTCCAGAACCAAATGTTACAACGATACTGCAATAATTCATTAATAACAAAAAAAGAAAAAGCTAATGTGAGTTCCATCAAAACGTTCATCTTCCGTGAACATTAATTAATAAAATGAATAAACATATCATTTGAGCATGAAATCTCAAAAGAAAAAGGCTTATTTAGTTATATATATTCTGGTGAGTATGATAGGAATGAATGTTTCATTAACAAAAGAGACTCAGGTGCCAAATTAGGGGATAAGAATATGATGTTGAGTGGTGACAGGAACACATACAAAGATAAGAGAGGCGGACCCTAAAATGCATCGATTACTTTAAAATTTTAATTCGAAGCTATTTTACAGATCCAAGACAACAAAAGTAGATAAAGGATTCCATATGAAAAAGAATAGCACGGCCAATACCATATAATTATTTTGGAAAATACTCATCTACTAATTCCTTGATTTAAGCAAATCATATAAAACTCTTTTTATAATTATAGAGTATTATTAATGTTAATAGAGTACAAAATACGAATCACCAAAATTTTAGGTGGCATTATCAATTGGATCATTAATTACTTTAATGGTGTCTCTTATTTAATTTAATGATGTGGAAAAAAAAGAAAATGAAATAAATATTGAAATGACATGGGAAAATAAAATAACTCTTTAATGCTAAAAAAATTACATGTATGTGTCAAAAAGGAGAAAGTGACATGTGATAAAAGATGTTCATTTAATTTATTTATTTACTAGGTTACAATCCACAGAAATTATGGGTAAGAAAGAAAAAGAATATTGATGATTAAAAATGATAATAGAAAATTAAAAAATTATAAAACTTTATTAAATTAGTTTATTAAAAACATGATAGTAAAAAGTTATTTTGTAAATAATAATGTATCTACAAATGATTTAGATTCAGATCCAAAAAAAAAAACCCCGAATTCAATTGAATATTGAATGAGGGAGGGGTATAATTGAAATTTCACTTTGATTTAAAATGCTTGGTGGAAGTGATATGTGGATAAAAAGTTTCAGAAAGATTATTTATAGGGAAATCTATAAAAACTTAGGAAGAGAGTAGAAAAGTGAAATATAAGATATGTCTTATTGAACGATGGCAAATTGACAATAGCCCGATACATAATTTTCTTAATTTATATATATATATATATATATATATATATATATATATATATATATATAGGCTAGTAATACACTTAAGTAACGTGAGCTAATTTTATTGATATGTGAAATTACAGAAAAATATCGTATATACAACATCATTATATACGTACCTGTACAGAGGGTTGGTTCGAATTTACCACTTGCATCATTTACAGTTAGTTAAAGTAATGTAATCAATCATATTCAGGAAGTAATACAATTAGTTGTTTGTTGGTTAGCAGGAATATTTTAGTCATAAACAATGTTTGACTATTTATGCATCTACATAAAATTATAATTATTTTTATGTTTTGCTTTGTTGGTGTGACTTGGAATTTGTAAAAACTAAAAAGTGACAAGGTGCATCGCATTTAAAAAAAAAATAAAAAAGTGCAGCTTTTGTAGGATTCTAACTTACATTGTGAATTCCCTTTTATTTATCCATAGTCCATACTTATAGGATATGTGGCCTGAAAGTTATAAAATATACCATTACTATTTATTATAGTATCGTTAAGAAAATAAAATTAGATTGCTATTGTTGTTAAATTATAAGCATAAGCATATAATAAAAAGATACGTGATTCGTAATATATTGATTTTGGCACATAAATCAAATCATCACACTATCTGTCGTACGGAATAATGTCGGTTCCCTTTCTTGTTTGTTTGCAGGTCTTTCTTTACGAGGACTTCACATGTTTACTCCACAAACCTTCTTAGACGCTTTCTCTCAAATTGAGGATGAATTCGTCCAGCTTGTGCGGACGACTAATGAAGGTGACCACTCAATGTTTGAAGTGGGCACGAGTTGTTTGGTTTGTATGCTGTGGGGCGATGATTTGTTCGTCTGTAACCTGGGGGATTCTCGAGCGGTAATAGGCCGCAAGGTTAAGCTTGGCAGATTCAAGAGGAAAGCAATAACCATTCCACTCACTAACGAAGACAACGTGAATATTGAAAACGTAAGACAAGAAATCCAACATCAGAATCCAAATGAAGAAGACATTGTAATACCAGATGGAAATGGAGTATGGAGAATCAGGGGCTTGAGTGAGGTTAAGTTTTTTTTATTTTTATTTTTTTAACTTTTAATCTAATTATAATTATTTGTTAATTTACAAATTTTCTAACACTTTTGCATTTAGGTGTCCGGTTCCATAGGAGATCTGTATCTAAAATTTCCAGAATTTGCAACTGATCGCCTTGAGGGGCGTCCTATCAACAAAGCCCTTTTGAAATCAATACCCACCGTAAAGAGACTACATATAGAAGAGGACGACATGTTTGTGATAATGGGCTCGCGTGGATTCTGGGACCACATAAGCAGCGACAAGGCTGTAGAGATTGTTCACAACAACTCCCACTCTGTGAGTTGTTTATTTTCTTATTTTTTTTAAGTATTAGATTGGTTTTAACAATGTTATTAATATAGGGAATAGCAAAAATACTAATTGGAGAAGCATTAAACGTAGCGGCAAACAAACTAGCAGAAAAGATAACATCAACAGCAATGGTGGGTGAAAATGAGGGATCACTTCCGATGTATGACGACATCTCAGTTGTGGTCATTTTTATTGACCAACGTTTGTTTCATCGTCGAGGCAATACTAAGGAATTCGTGTCTCTAAAGGCGTATGAAGAAATTCAGGAATCAGAGTACAACAAAACCTACAGAGTAGAATGGAAGGCGCCTAATCCAGGCATTATAGTAGCAACTAGTCCTCCAAGCACCGGAGTAGCAACTAGTTTTAGGGGTGCAGCAAGTGGTTCAGGCGGTGGAGGTGCATCTAATTGACAGGAACGAATATATACGATTTTACTCATAGTACATGTTCAATTTCTCATTTTGATTACCTAAGTCCATAAACAACGATGACTAGATTTTCATATTGAAATGAATGTTGGGTTAATAGGATTTGTTGTAATCCAAACCTGGTCCTATCTTTGACGGGGTTTTGTGGAAAATAAAAAGGATAAGTGGCTTCACTTTAGCATGGATGATAGCTATTATTCAGCTCTTTATTTACTACAAATAGATGCACTTTGTTTTTGTTTAATATATAGGAAGATGTAGACGTTTATAATCAATCGGGTTCCATTTTGCAAATTTACTTTCACATACATATTTACGGGACTAGTGTGTGTGTTTTGTGGAGCCTGAACCAACAATGAACATCAACAAAAATTTGAAAACATAATAAATCAAGTGGCTGCAAACTTTCAAGCACATTTTAGGAAAGAATCACAAAACTTAGAAAGTCCAGAAAGTATTGGACAACCTCTCCAAGTTATCCAAAGAATTTTGATAAAAAAAAAAAAAAAACAACTTTTCTATACAAATGTTATGAAACAAACAAAGTATATAGGACATCAGTTTACATCGTTTAATCAATGGCAAACGTATCAACGTTTCGTTTTGTTTACATAGGAAGAATTGGCTAGGTTAGTTAGACCCTTGGATTTATAATGGGCAGTTTTCAGTTTTCCCAAACAAAACCAAGGCAGAAATTCCAATTTGCTGCGTGGCTTCAACTCATGAAGGACGTCATCCCGGAGTTGAGTCAGTTTGTAGCCATGTCCTTTTTGATTGGATCACTCAACGTTCTCTGACACCCCCTTCGCCTTCTCCCGACACGACGCTATTTGCCGCCGTTTCCTTCCCGGCTAACAAAGTTTTGCTTGGTTACCGTGTAAGCGTCACAATAGCCAGAGGAATGGACATCTGTAGTATATATAATAACAGAAGGTTCAATGAAGTGGCGAACATGCATGTTCAACACGTGTTGGATAAGCGGGCACGTGGCAATGCACGTGTAATGTTATGTAAAGTAGAAATAAGTGGAATCAAATTCACTATCCCACGGTCGGCTGGTCCGTAAATAAGAATTTCCACTCCAATTCTGTCGGCCGGTCCGTAAATACGAATTTCCACTCCAATTCTCTTTTTAAAAGTATGAATTATGATATATGCGGAGATTTTTTTTTTTTTTTTTTTTTTATTTTTATTTTTATTTTTATTAAAATAGGGTTATTCAAAAAAGTATTTACCAATCTGATATAGTTTTAAAAATATTTACCAAAATAGTGTTTTTTTCATTTTTCTTGTATTTTTTATTTTTTTCTTGTTGTTGTTATTTATTTTAAATCAACTTTTTTTATTTTTTTCTTTTGTTTCAGTTTTTTAATATTTTTTTTTATCAAAAACCCGATGCATATATAAAATAATATTAAAATCCTAAATGCATCAAAACCCAACCACAGCAAAGATATATAAAATAATATTTAAATTCTAAATTCATATTATATACACATTATTGAAAAATACTACTAACAGTAGTATATATTATTTTTTGTCTTCGATCATAGATTTAAGTTTTCATTATCGACATTCTAACACTTTCAAAAGATATCACCCCTTGACCCTTCCTGTTTTTCCTTCCCTCCGGCTTTCTGTTATACATTTTTTTTTTTTTTCTAATGATGATTTGAATTTATCCTAAACTTTTTTGATGAAATTAAAAACAGGTTTAGTGGGGATTTAATTTAGTTTTCGACTTTGTGTTTGTGCAAGATTATTTAGGCAGCAAAAGAAGTTGATGTCTTTAGCAAAACTTATCTTCTGCTAATTGACAATGTGTATTACCATGTTACAACAAAATCAACTAAGCATCCATTATCAATTTATTATTATATTATAAATTGATCTAAGATTTACAAAATGGCTTTATAATATAAATTTAGGATTTAATTATTATTTTATATATGTGATTCGGTTTTGATGCATCGGTTTTTTGATAAAAAAAACATTAAAAAACTGAAATAAAAGAAAAAAAATAAAAAACTGCTTTATAAAAACAGCAAGAAAAACTAAAAAATACAAGAAAAATGAGAAAACACTAGTTTGGTAAATATTTTTGAAAATACACTAGATTGGTAAATATTCTTTTAAATAACTCCATTTTAGTCAAAAACTCGATATATGCGACATTAACAATATATTTATATATAAATGGCTGTTGCTAAATTGATCCTGTTAGAACACTTTTATTAAAAATAAATCAATAATAAATATTTATAATTTATTTTTTCAAAAAAAAAAAAAATACATATTCAACTAATAAAAAAACTTTAAAAATCAAATATGTTGTCTAAATGGAAAATTGAGGTGTATTTTTAGCCAACCTCTTTATAATGGGAGTTATTTTTCCAAAGTTTATTTTGATTCTTACACTGAATAATTAATGGATGAGATTTTCTAATATGTACCATAAGGGTACATATAAGAAGTATTAATTAATCACAATTATTACCATAATTAAATGTGAAAAGCATTAATTATAAGAAATATTACTATAATTAAATATAAAATTCGTTAATGATGAGGGTGTTGGAATCACGCCCTTTATATTCACTTCACTGCAGCAACAATCGACAAAATATTTGATAATACGTGAGAGAATAAGAAGAACGAGAGTTATTTATTGACTCTAAAACGACTGCTCTTACTATTCAGAAAATAAAAGGCTTTTATAGCCTACATACCCTAACAGAACTAAAACAAATCAAACTCAAACAAAGGGACTACTAAGCCCACGTGTTCCCATTTTCTAGCACTAATAATTGGTCCACATGACCTATTCAAGACCCATTCAATTTATTTTACTAAATAACAAAAAACCAAAATACTAAAATAAACCTGTCAAGATTAAAAGATCAACATTCACCCCCTTAATCTCGACTTAGTTTCCATCAAAGCAATGCTGATTCTTCCTCCTGAATCAAGTTTCCTTCTTTGTCTTTTTCATCCCACTTAGTGCACTCATAGCTAACATGCCCAAAGTCTCCACAGTTAAAGCACCGGAAGCTGTTTTTGTCACCTCGACCTCTTCCTCTTCCTCGACCCCTTTCACCTCTTTCAAAGTTCCTTCCACGACCTCTTCTGGGTACACTACTTTCACCATATTTTTGTTCACTTGCCATCGTGAGTTGATCTTGCTCTTTAAATTTTTCTTCAAGACTTTGAAGCCTTTCTTCATAAGCATTAACCCTTCCAACCGCTTCTTCAAATGTCATAGTTTCAAGATCGGAATATTGTTCAATGGGAGCTACAATGGGCAAATACTTCTTTGGAACCGAATTAAGGAATTTTCTTACAATCACCTCCTCTTCAAGAGTTGAACCAAGACTTTTGAATTTGGCAACAATACCACTTATTTTGCTCAAAAAGTCATTGATTGACTCATTATCCATCATCTTTAGCATCTCCAATTCGTTTCTCAATGTTTGTAGTCTTGCTTTCTGCACCCGTTCGACTCCTATATACCGGACCTGGATTGATTCCCACACCTCTTTGGCACTTTGGTGTTTAGCAACCTATAAAAGGACATTCTCTGGTAGAGTTTGAAAAATTATACCTTTAGTGGTATAATTTTTTTTCTCTTCAACCACATCTTTGGTTATAGCATCCCAATATCCATATGCCCTTAACGCAGTTTCAATCATAATAGACCAAGTGGTGTAGTTAGTTTCTGTTAATTTAGGGCATTGAAATGGTAAAGCAGTACATTGAACTGCAATTTCTTTTGAACCCCTTTGTCATTCTTCTAACTTTTGCAAGTAATTTGGTAAAAGAGTTATACCTTTCTGTTTCTTTCTTTCTCAGGTAACAACAACAGGTTGTTATAATCTTCTTTCTTTCTTTCTTTCTTCTTTCTTTCTTTCTTTCCTTCTTTCTATATCGTCTTTCTTTCTTTCTTCTTTCTATTGTCTTTCTTTCTTTCTTCTTCCTGGCGGTCTTTCTGCAGCAACAATATCTTCAAGTCTTCATGCGATTTGTCATGAAATCGCCACTAGCTTTCTTCCAATGGAGCCTAGGCTCTGATGCTAAATGTTGAAATCAGGCCCTTTATATTCACTTCACTACAGCAACACTCGACAAAATATTTGATAATACGTGAGAGAATAAGAAGAACGAGAGTTGTTTTTCGACTCTAAAACGGCTGCTTTTACTATTCAGAAAATAAAAGGCTTTTATAGCCTACTTACCCTAATAGAACTAAAAAAAATCAAACTCAAACAAAGGGAATACTAAGCCCACGTGTTCCCATTTTCTAGCACTAATAATTGGTCCACATGACCCATTCAAGACCCATTCAATTTATTTTACTAAATAACAAAAAGCCAAAATACTAAAATAAACTTATTAAGATTAAAATACCAACAAAGGGCTTCACCAATGATAGTTGATGTCTGCAATACTCATGAGACCCTCGCTAGTATGGTCTTGAGACGAATTAATTGGCTCAGATTTGTATATGGCGGGTTGCTGGTAAAGCCTTTGATGGTGTCGGCATAAGACTTGTGATCCCTGCGACCTGCGACATAGCCAATCCGGAAACCGATGTGAGGAGGTAGGCTTAGGAGGAGCTGGGTTCTTACGCATCAAAGAGTTGACGTTGGAATCCGGAAATATTAACTTTCGACGTTGCGTCACAACATTTGATTTTGTCTAGCTTTTTCTCCATCTCATTGATGTCTTTAACTCCCTTGAATCTGATAAACTTGAAATTTTAACTCATGGAAGGTGTTTCTCAATTTGGAAAGTGTAATTAGAGTATTTAATGTAATATAAACTAATCGATTTTTTTCATTTGTAATGATCCCTACCCAATACTTTTCATATATATATATATATATATATATATATATATATATATATATATATATATATATATATATATATATATATATATATATTATTCTATTCAAAGTAATTATTGTATTATTATATACATAAATGCGGGCCACCCAATTTTACTTATTTTAATAAAGTGATTAATACATATTATTGAATTAAATATAATTGAAAATATCATCTAATTTAATTACAAGGGTATTTTAGTCAATTAATATAGATTTAATAAAGGAAAATTGCATATTTTAAGTGATCATAGATTTTATTGATTTTAAAAATCCGATTTTACGAATTATAATTCTTTTAATTAGGACATTATGATATAATATGTTTATGAGTATATTCAAAAATAAAAATATTCTTGACCATAAATAATAAAAATATTCTTGAACCTATTTCTTGATCATGACTTTAAAAATTTCTTATAGAATAACAAATTCTTGAACAATCAATTGAAGAATAAAAACAAAAAATACATTATTTCTTATAGAATATGGGTAACAATTGTTAAGAATTACATTTATTGTTAAAGAATAAAACTAAAAAACTATCAAAACGGGAAAGAAAACATCAAAATCTAACAACGACACTAATACATTCTAAAAGAATAATGTTGCCTAGAATAACTTTCAATTTTGTGGTCTGTTCTTCAAGCATCAACTTCTGTGAAAACAAAACTAAATTGTAGTTTTGTAACGCCCGCAGATTCAGGCTAAGTCAATTTAGAGACAATAAGCGTAAAAAAAAAAATGAGTTTTTGAAGGAAGAATATTTAGAAAGATTAATCTAAACCAAGTTATAGTATATGTTACAAGGGTTTCGTACATATAAAGAACGCCGAAATCTGAGTTCTAATGAAGAAGTTAAGGCCCGTCGAAGTTTTAAGACAAGACCAACACGACATTGCACGACGTAAATAGTGAATTTACGACAGAGTGATTTTTACCCTTAGCGATCTAAACAAAAGTCGTCGTGTTTTTTAAACCAAGAGTGTGCATAGAAAGAACGTCAAAATCTGACTTCGTATGAGGAAGTTATGATTTTTCTAAGATTTGACATAGTAGTGTTGTAACGACCCGTTCCCGGTATGTTAATTCATTAGTAATTGTTTTTAAGTTTTGCAAGAGGGACTCGGCGAGTTCATAGCCTGACTCGCCGAGTAGGGTCGCGACTTCGAGCACGCGT